TGTGTGTGTGTGTGTGTGTGTGTGTGTGTATGTTTCAGGTTGAGGAAAATGTGGCAGAAGAGGAAATGTTCAGTCCACAACTGTTACCTGACCATCGCTCATGCTACAGTAAGTGTGTGGCCTCTGACCTTTAACAGTTAACTTTTATTTTTTGGAAGTTAATTGTAAACTACTGTAACTATAACTTTATATGGGATGCACATTAAAGGAAAAACGCAGGATGTGAARAGAATCCATTATAAACCCAAATATAGACCATTCTGTGATGTCAGGTTGATTAAATTAGTTTGAGTTTTTCCTTTTGAGGGGCATCCATGTCACTGTTTTTGAGTGTTTAATGAGATTTATTCTTTAATAATATTTGGCTGATTTATGCCCRTTTCTGTTTCTCAGCCAAACAAACCTCCGACCAGACTGAACCTGCTCACCTGTCAGGTGAAACCAAGYGTGGAGGACAAGAAATGCTTTGACCTCATTTCTCGTAAGACTCGTTCCCACACAGAAAAAGACACGTAAAGAGTGTTTTTACATGAGGCTGCAACTTGGTGTGCATGAAGAAAATCATTTTATCTTTTATCACTATCATAAATTACATAAGAGAATGAAATTAGCACATTTTACATGCACAAATTAATGTAAAACACTTGAATATAGTTGYTAAATATGTGAGTTTTTAATAGAACCTTTCTCCTGCAGATAATCGGACCTACCACTTCCTGGCTGAGGATGAAGCAGAGTGTGTGGCGTAAGTCAGAAACAAATTTGTCTGGATTAATTGTTATAAAGAGCAACTGCACTGATTTGAAACAAAGACAGAGACAGTGAATTAATTTCAGTTTTAAATGTTCAGATGGATCTCGGTGCTCAGTAACAGCAAGCAGGAAGCTCTGAGCATGGCTCTGGATGGGAGCAGGCGGGGGGGAGGAGGCGGGGAGAGCAGTGTCGAGGATCTGACCCGAGCCATCACCGACGACATCCGACGAATGCCTGGGAACAGCTGCTGCTGTGACTGTGGCGCTCCAGGTAACTGACCGACCGACAAATCAATCAATCAATCAATCAATCAATCAATCAATCAATCAATCAATCAATCAATCAATCAATCAATCAATCAATCAATCAATCAATAGACCAACTAATCAATCAACGAACCACCCAACCAACCAACCAACAAATCAATCAATCAATCAATTGACCAACTAATCAACCAACCAGCCAATCAATAGACCAACCAACCAACCAACCAACCAATCAATAGACCAACTAATCAACAACCAACCAACCAACCAACCAACCAATCAACCAACCAACCAATCAATAGACCAACTAATCAACAACCAACCAACCAACCAACCAACCAACCAACCAACCAACCAATCAATAGACCAACTAATCAACAACCAACCAACCAACCAACCAACCAACCAACCAACCAACCAATCAATAGACCAACTAACCAACCACCAACCAACCAACCAACCAACCAACCAACCAACCAACCAATCAATAGACCAACTAACCAACCA